GGTTATCCTCACTTGGATGAACAGTTTCCATTGGGAAAAAAATCTTTTTTATTTCCTTGGGCAAAGTAAGTAGACTGAGTCTTAGTTCTGCAAAGTTAATGTCATGAGTTTAATTGACCAAGAGGCATACATAATGAAAAATTTCTCAAGAACAAGACTTGTCAAGAAATTAGTTGCTGGTATTGTCCATATACAAGACCACTGACTTCCCAAGTATTTTCTTAGTGTCCTTTCTATTGCTGTGACAAATGTGATAAACACCATAAACCAAAGCAATTTGTGGATAAATAGTTTATGTGGTTTACAAATCCCATGTCCCGGGCCATCATGAAAGAAACTAGGGACAGAAATGTTCAGCACTTGTTAGATGTAGAAAGCAAAACCTTTAGTGAAAGATTTCTCAGTTAAAAGCTGGGTTCTCTCTAAATATGCTCAAACAAAGGAGAAACCACAGTATATGTGTGGCTCAGTAAAGTAAATGGTTCTCTAGAAATGTTGGAGTATTTTGTTTCATTTCCATTTCCACATCACATGTATGACAATATTTGTGAAAACTCCACTCAAAATAATCCAAATAACAGCTGAGTAAAGTTTCACCACAGATTGTCATATACACAACTTTCCAAAGTTAAATCAAAATGAAATGAAAATTTAAACAGACCCAGTGAAACAGAAGCAATAAATACAGTCTTCCAACTAGAGGAATCCCAAGGTCATATAATTTCAGTGCAGAATTCTTCTAGGCCTTCAAAGAAAAAAACACATGTTCTTCAAATTATTCTTGAAATAAAAGCCAAAAGAACATTTATACACTCTTTTTATCAAACCACTATTACTCTAAAACAAAAAAAATGATTAAGCAACAACCTAATATCCATTAAGAACATAGACGCAAAAATTGGTAATAAAATACTTGCAAACAAAATTCAAGAACATGTCAAAAAGAATGTCCAATATGACCAAGATTGCTTCATCCCAGAGATGCAGGTATGATTCAACATACAGAAATTGATCCACCACATCCACAGACCAGAAAGGAAATACCACATAATCATGCCATTAGATGCAGAAAAGGTCTTTGATAAAATATACCTCATGATAAAAGTCCTAAAGAAATCAATGATATAAGGGTTATGCATCAACATAATAATGGAAAAGTACAGCAAGCCCACATCCAACATCAAACAAAACCAGGAGAAATGCAAAGCATTTCCACTGAAGACATGAACAAGGCAAGGATGACTGCTGTCTTCATATCTACTCTATATAGAATTGAAGGCTTAGCTAGTGCAATAAGGTATTTTAAGGAGGCCTGCTGGATAGAAATAGAAAAGGAAGAAGTTAAAGTATCCTTATTTGTAGATTATATAATTTCATACAAAAATGACCCCGAATTCTCCACTAGTAAACATTAACATGTGATAAAAAACTTTCAACAAAAAGCAGGATACAAAATTAACCTAATAAAATCAATTATCTTCCTATACACCACTGAAAAACAGACTGAGTAAAGAATCATGGAAAACATTACATATCTTTTTTTCATTCACTAGAAGTTTTACTATTAATGTTTTTTAATTTAAATATATTTTATCATATTTCCCCCTCCCCTAAGTTCTTCAATATATTCTTCCCCTCCTTACAACCTCAACATTAAGTTCTCCTTAAACAAACAAATAAGCAAACAAACAAAACTACAATAAAACAACCTCCCATACAAGAAAATAAAACACCACAACAAAATGAGAAAACAATACAACAAAATAAAACCCACCAATATGTAACCAAATTAAAAAAAAAAACCTGTGCACTCCATTCAGTGCTTCAGTGTCACACACCCATTCATTTGTACACTCAGGAATTCCTTGACAACAGCAAACTGGAAGCCATAGTATAAGTACAGACCTGGTGGAGACTTATGCAGGTGCTGTACATGCAGCACCAGTGTCTGTAAGTTCATAGGAAGTTTCTCATATAAATTTAAATGGCCTTGTTTTCTTGATGTCCTTCATCCCCTCTTGCTCTTGCACTGTTCCTGATCCAGGGGCTCCCTGAGGTCTGGTGGGAAGGATTAGATTGAGACAACCCATTTGGGTCTGAGTGTTCCACAATATCTCATTCTCTGCATAATGTTTTGTTGTGGGTCTCTGTATTTGTTCCCATCTGCTGCAAGAGGCTTCTTGGATGATGGGTGAACAAAGCATTGGTATATGATTATAGCAAAATATAATTAGGAGTCATTTTATCACTACATTGTTCTTTTCTTCTTTTAGACTACCAAAAAAAAAACCCAAAAACAAATGATAGTTCATGCTGGCAAGAATGTGAAATAAAGAGAACACTCATTCATTGCTGGTTGGATTGAACACTAATACAGCCACTATGGAATCAATGTGGTATTCCTTTGGAAGATAGAAATCAATCTACCTCATTTCCAGCTATACTATTCTTGGAAATATACCTAAATGGTACTTAACCCTACCACAAAGACACATGCTGAAACATGCTTATTGTTGCTTTATTCATAATAGCCAAAAATTGGAAACAACCTAATTGTCCGTCAAAAAAAGAATAGACAAAGAAAATGTGGTACATTTACACAATAGATTATTACTTAAACATTAAAGAAAATGACATAATGAAATTTGCAGACAAATAGAAATAGAAAATAATCATCTGTATTTAGGTAACCCTGACCCAGACAGACAAATATGGCATGTATCGACTCACATGTGAATATTAGCTGTTAAATCAATGATAGATAACTAGGCTATAACTCATAGAACCACTGAGGGTAGGTACAGATTAAGGTACTGGAGGAAACAACTAGATTACATTAGAAAGGGAAATAGACTAGATAAACATGGGTGGAGGGGATGTGGCTGTTGGAGGGAATAACCAGAGATATGGTTATAATTAAGAGGCATGTGAGGGGTATTGTTGTTCAAATCTAAGATGGTCTTATAATTAAAAAAAAAAAACAGAGACAGATATTGGTGTGAAAGCTAAAAGATCAGAGAAGCTGAGCAAGCCACACCCAACTTCACTTCATCAACTCTTCAGCCAATTCTGTTTCCACAATCCTCAGACTGAAAGCCTCCGAATCCTCACCCAAAAGGATCTCAGTTGGACTGCCTTAGTTCCTGTCTCCTCATGCTTTACCTACCTTTCTCCACCCTGCCATCACTTCCTGGGATTAATGGTCTGTGTGCATCACAGCACTGGGATTAAAGGTGTGTGCCATCATTGCCTGGCTCTGTTTCCAGGGTGGCCTTGAACTCACAGAGATGGATCTCTGCATCCCAAGTGATAGAATTAAGTATGTGTGCCACAACTGTCTGGCCTCTATGTCTAATCTAGTGGCTGGCTCTGACCTCTGATCCTCAGGCAAGGTTATTAGGGTACACAATATATCACCACAGGGTAGCATAAAAATCTAATACTAAAAAACCTTCCTAAAATTTATACATATGTGAAGGAGATTAAAATGAATTTGCTGAGTAATGGGGGAGACAGTTCCAACTGGTCATTTCTTGTCATCTAACAAAGATTCCAGTGCCAGGATTAGGTTACATCTAATTGACTTATTGGTCCAAGGGGCCCGATGGGAATCCCCCCTAATACAGGCTGAAGTCAGGACTATAGCTTTCTCTCCACAAACTAACAGCAAGGTTCTTTTGCTGAAGACAACACCTATATAACTCACTGAACAAGGAGATATTGAGGTAGTGCCTACATAAGGGTATCCATTATATGTAGCATCTTTGGTACAAGACAGCACTTAACACACTATCAAAGGAGAAATATAAACACCAAACCAGCCACAAACCATTTATCCACAATGCTGTACTACCAGCAAGATATGTAAAGGCAATGGTGGCATGGAGTTTATGGGATTAAGCAATCAATACATGATTTGACTTGTGGCCCACTCTACACGATATAACCCATAGCCAACACTGCTTTGGTTAAGAAGAACTTGAGACTAGATAGCCCAGAGGCCAAGACTGAAATAGTAGTTCACACCACACACACACACACACACACACACACACACACACACACACACACACACACACACACGTATGTATGTATGTATATACATATATCTATGTAATTGTATATTGGAATAACTAAGCAAGTGAAAAGACTTGTATGATTAAAAGTTTAAAACATTAAAGAAAGAAATTCATACAGATATCAAAAGATGGAAAGACCTCCTATGTTCATGGACAGATGGGATTAATATAGTAAAAATGGCAATTGTATCCAAAGCAATCAACATACTCAGTGCATAACCCATCAGAATTCTAACACAGTTCTTTAGAGAAAATGAAAACAAAGGCAATCTTTTTAAAAAAGATTTGTTTATTTTATGTGCATTGGTGTTTTGTCTGAATATATTTCTGTGTAAGGATGTCAGATTCACTAGAATTTTAGTTACAGACTGTTGAGAGCTGCCATGTAGGTGCAGGAATTGAATCCAGGTCCTCCTGAAGAGTGGTCAGTACCCTTAATCAATGAGCCATCCCTCTAGTCCTTCAAAAGCAATCTTAATCTTCATATAGAAATACAAACAAACAAATGTAACACAAATCTTAACAGGTCTTATTAATAAAATACTCAGGAGAGCCAGGTATTGGGGTGAACTCTAAAAGATCAGAGAAACAAAACAAGCCACATCCAACCTCACCTTGCCAACTTCTCAGCTGATCTTGTTTCCTCGGACTGAAAGCCTCTGAGTCCTCATCGGAATGCATCTCATCTGAACTGCTGCTAAAAAGCCTAAAATTTAAAAGTTCCTGGTTTTTACACCTTATATAACTTTCTGCTTCCTGCCATCATTCCCTGGGATTAAAGGTATGCGTCACCATGTCTGGCTCTTTCCAGTGTGGCCTTGAACTCAGAGATCTGGATGGATCTCTGCCTCAGGAATGCTAGGATTAAAGATATGTGCTACTACTGCCTAACTTCTGCTTGTAACGGGCAATTCAGTTTTGTTGTTGTTTGTCTTGTTTTTCCATTGGAGTGGCACTGGATATGTCAACCACTCTAGAGCAAGGCCCCATGCTCAGGAGTATTTGGCCAATAAAAAGCCTACTTTCTATAGTGTTTGTGTCTGTGTGTGTGCACGCGCGTGCTCATGTGTGCTTTTGTTTTTCTTTTTTTAGGTTTTGTTAAGAGCCTTGCCTGAGGGGAAAAAATGCATTCTGTATGTAAGAGCATTGTGACATTTGGCACACTAAGAATAGAGGGAAATTATCCATAATAAAGACGTTCCCAATTTAAGGTGATGTGATTGTTATTTCTAACATAAAGGGTTGCTACATTCCCCCCCCCCTTTTTTTGGGGGGGTCATACTTTCTTGTCTTTGTTCTAATGATCTATTAAGCAAAACCTTCTAATTTCTGGTAAACAGGGTTTATGGATAGTATAATATCTTTTGAAGCAATTGCCTTGAATAAAATCTCAGCACTGTGGATACTCTGCATCCTTAGGGCTTCTCAAATGCTATAAGGGTTCACAGCCTTCTGGTCTAAAAGTTTGCATTCCAGAATTTGAGTTCTCTTTCATGGACTAAGCTACCCTATCCACAGCATTTCTGTTTTGTTTTGTTCTCTCTTTTTTCATATGTATAACCATGAAAAAGGTGTCTTTTTTTGGTGTCTTTCTATTTGTGTTTGTGGGTTTTTTGAGAGAGAGATCATGAAGTTGAGAGTAGGACTTGAGGGAGAAAAATACATGAACAAAGTATATTGTGTGAATAATTTAGAATTTAATAATATTAATAATCATCATCATCATCAACAACTAAGTTTGAAACCTGTAATAATGAAAGCAGTGGACTGTGTCTTCTAAGAAAGAACTTGTGATCCTCTTGGCTCAGCCTCTCAAGTAGGAGGGATTAAAGGCTTGTACCACTAGGCATGGTTCAAAAGAAAAATATATCTTTTTATCTTTTCTGGGATAAAGTAATACTATACTTCAGACAAGAAATATTTATATAACACAAAAATCACAAGCAATATAAGAATAAAAAGCGGTAAGTTGGACTTCATAATTGACATATTTTCTTACAAGGAAAAAATAAGCCATTTGCAGGGAAAAATATCTGCAAATCACTGTTCAACAACATGTCTATTCAGCATATGCAAAGTATACTGTAAATCCTATACTAAGACATACATATTCCAATTGAGAAATGGACAGATTTGAGTAAAGCAATTTGTGGAAAGTAGTTAGGCAGCAAACAAGCACTATCACACACATAGTATACTGATGGTAGTGAGTGAGTGCAAGACTGAATTGATTGGGATTTTCATGCATTGCTGTTGGGTAATGGAAATAGAATACATACTGGGGGAAAAGCTACCAGTTTCACATAAAATTAAGCATACACTTACCACAGCCCACTAAACACACTCTTTGATAATTAGCTTTGAAAACTGAAACAATGAGACTGTACAGAGGCTTCGATCAAGAAAATTCATAACGTTTTTATTTGTTGTAGCAAAAAACTCGAAATTCTCCTGTCCTTCAGTGATTTACTTATAAATTGTGTAATAATTTCCCTTTCCCATATCTGAAAATGAACTATGATTATATACGCTCACTTTGTGAGTTTCTGAGAATTTGGGAACTTACTGTCATAACACTCTGAGTCTAAATTTATCTCAGAAAAGAAATTTATGTTAAAATTATGTATTATTCTGACTGCCTAAACTTAATGCTAGCCACACACTGGTAAATAGTTCTCAGTATGTCATATCATTTTAAAATATTTTAAGCATTTTGGAATAAATTAGAATAAAAGATATACAAGTTAGTAAAATGATACATGCAAAGACCACGCTACATTGTAAATTTTCAAACTTAAATCTCTGGTAGAAGAAACTGTTAACTTAAAATTTTACCAAATTAAAGACAAGGCAAACAAAAAGTCAAACAAGGTATTCTGCTCCCAAATGCACATTAGGTATATATTTAAATTTTTTTTTTGTGTGTTTGTGAGTGTGTGTGTATGCTCCTGAAGGCCAGAAGAGCATATCAGATCTTCTGAATCTTGAGTTTCAGGCAGTTATGAGCCTCCTGATTGGGGGGCAGGGGAGTGCTGGCACTAAACTTGGATTCACTAGAAGAACAGCAAGTGCTCTAAACCACTAAGCCATCTCTCTGCTCAATTATAGCCTAAAGATATACTACTTGTCATTTTTCTCAAGGCATCATTTCTTCATTAATATCTCCAATATTTTTTCTAAGTCATCCACATTAAATATGTTCATAAATGATGTTTCTTGTTGTTTTCAGCGACTAGGGATTAATTATGACCTCTCCTACACACTGGCTAAATGCTTTACCACTGTACTATATCTTCCAGTGATCATAAGTACTGATGGATTTTCTGAAAAATGATGAGGCAATATATTTCTGCAAGCCCTGCTACAGGAAAGGATTGCTTTAGTGTGAATTCTAAATCAATAGAGGCATTAATTTACAAGCTAATACTTTCTTAAAATTATGTTTTTGTCAACTGGTAGTTGCTCCAAATCTATGATTATTTGACAGTGCCGTTCTTACTAATGAAGGCTTTGCTAGTCTGTCACATTCATGTGTTTTTTTAAACATATACTTTTTAAGATATATAAGATATATAATTTTTTGAAATCCCTCAATACTATCTACATCAGTCATAGTATTATTCCTTTGACAGAGAAAAATAGATCATTTATCTGTGAATACACCAATATAAATTCTATACACATTAATGTTTTGGGTAGATACTAATACTCAAGGACAAATAACAAGAGGATTGTTGACTAACTATGAATTCTCTTGTGCTTAACAAGGGTTGATAAGTGGGCAAAGGCTTTCCCACAATCACTACATCCATAAGGCCTCTCTCCTGTATGTTTTCTTTGATGAACATTGAGCCAAGACTTTGTAGTGAAGGCTTTCCCACACTCATTGCACTCATATGGTTTCTCTCCTGTGTGAATTCTCTGATGGGTAATGAGATCATTTTTGCGCAAGAAGCATTTTCCACATTCAGAACATGCAAAGGAAGTCTTTCCTGAGTGAAATCTCTGATGTACTATGAGCGGTGTCTTTTTCTCAAAGACTTTACCACATTCATTACATTTGTATGGCTTCTCCCCAATATGAGTTTGCTGATGTATACTTAGTGTACTTTTCATTGTGAAGCCCTTCCCACATTCATTGCAAATGTATGGCTTTTCACCATTATGAGCTCGCTGATGTGCAATGAGCATTTTTTTTTCACTTAAGCCTTTACCACATTCACTACATACATAGGGTTTCTCTCCTGTGTGAGTACGTTGATGCACATTGAGTTGACTCTTCTCAGGAAAGCTCTTTTCACATTTGTTGCATTTATAAGGTTTTTCTCCTGTATGGGTCCGTTGATGTATTATCAGCCGTATCTTTGTTGGGAATCCTTTTCCACATTCATTGCATACATAAGGTTTCTCTCCTGTGTGAGTTCGCTGATGGACAATGAGGCGGTTCTTTAAAGCAAAGCCTTTTCCACACTCACTGCATATATATGGTTTATTTCCAGTATGAGTTTGCTGATGTATCATAAGTTGTACCTTTGTTGGAAAGCCTTTTCCACATTCGTTGCATACATAGGGTTTTTCTCCTGTGTGAATTCGCTGATGTACAACTAGGTGGCTTTTCAAGGCAAAGCTTTTTCCACACTCATTGCATGTGTATGGTTTCTCCCCAGTGTGAGTTCGCTGATGGGCAATTAGATCACTCTTCATGATAAACTTTTTTTGACAATAAGTACATATAAATGGTTTCTCTTCAGAATGTATTCGCTGATGTGTAATAAGACTATTCTTTAATGTGAAGCCTTTCCCACACTTACTGCATATGAAGGGTTTCTCACCAGTATGAGTTCTATAATGTCCAAGAAGACGTCTCTTCTCAATAAAGCCTTTTCCACATTCACTGCATACATAAGGTTTCTCTATTCTGTGAGTTTTCTGATGTGCCACAAGACTGAACTTCGTAGAGAAGGCTTTTCCACATTCATTGCATATATGCAGTTTCTCTCCTGTATGAGTCAGCTGATGAGTATTAAGACTGTTCTTCAGTGTGAAGCCTTTCCCACATTTACTGCATATAAATGGTTTCTCCCCAGTATGAATTCGATGATGAGCAACAAGACGCCTCTTCTCAATAAAGCCTTTTCCACATTCACTACATATATAAGGTTTCTCTCCGGTATGAGTTTTGTGATGTGCAGTGAGACTGGACTTTGTAGAGAAGGCTTTCCCACATACATCACATCCATGGGGTTTCTCTCCTGTGTGAGTTCGTTGATGATAAACGAGTAGATACTTTCTAGAGAAAGCCTTTTCACATTCAGTACACGTATAATGTTTCTCTCCTGTAAGATTTTTCTGATGTACATTAAGGGATTGGTCATTCCCACTTAGCTCAGCAGAGTTCTTTATATCACAGTTTCTGCTCTGGTTTTCAAAACTTAAATTTGAGTTCAAAGATTTTTCACAGAAGTCAAACCCACTGCAGTTTTGCTTCAATGGTGGATGATCTTTGCTCTGATTAAGAATATTTCTGAAATTTCTATGTTTGTAGCATTGTTCAATGCTTTTGTGAATGGTTCTATCTTTCAAGTGATGTTGCAGAGGATCACCAACTTCTCTGATTTCTAGGAAAGAAGAGAATAGCATATAATTTCACCATCTTCCTTTAAAACCAGACTGTTTAAGAAATGCTTTGGTAAGCTGGAGAGATGGTTTAAAGGTTTGAAAACACATATAGCTCTTCCAGAGAATCTGAGTTCAGTCCCAAACACCCAGGTCAAGAGGCTCACAACCATCTTTAACTGCAGCTTCAGGGGAACAGATACTATTTTCTGGCCCATTTGAGGACCTGTACTCATGAGCATATACCCACATATAGGCACACACACACACACACACACACACACACACACACACA